TTCAACTTTCAAAAATGGTTGACGATTTTGTACCTACTAGGTTCTTGGCAATGACAGCCCATTTGGTCGCGATCATTATTTTGTTTTGGAGCAAGGTAAAGTTGATATGCAAAGATTTGGTTAAATAAATATTTACATTAAATATGTATCTTAGGATTCTTACGTCCAGTCGAATTTCGTCGGTAACGTCAATGCTCAGGAGTACGCTAAGAAATCAACTGAGTACGTATAATATTGAGTTTCCTTAATCTTGGTTTGCCGGCAGAACGGCCATCGAACACTGCGTTCAGATTCAGTTCACGTCATTTACTCAGAATCTTCAGTAGAACTTGCAGATTTTCATTCAGTTGAATAAATCATAACGGTCTGTGCATAGTGTCGATTAACGTTGAAGAAAGAAGGCAGGAATAGGCAAAACGAAGCCTCTCGCTTGTAGGAGATTAGGAGAATCTCATAGTAGCAAACGTTGTAGCATCTGAAGAAAATCCACTCCACTCCTTTTTATCCTGTTACTATATTCTCTCATAACCTTGACGACAGCTTAGTTCTTTAAGCTTCAGCAAAAATATACTTACGTGATACCGTAAGTGCACCCAAACTTGCAGGAAACACGTGAAGCTGAATATGCTGAAATGTTAGTCGGTGTACTATTTCTCCAAATTTAAATAATTTCTTTTGATTGATTTGATATGAATTATAGTGTTAATATAGCTCATACTCTATATCAACATCATAGTTACTCAATAAATCATGTCATCTCTGTAATACTTAAAATTTACTCTAAATTAATCGATCAGACATCATGTGATGAACGCTACTCTTGCATCCATCTTCCATTTTTCAACGTGTCCTATTCCTTTTGATGAAGGGTGCAACGGCTGTAGGAAACTTTCAAATGGTCCTCAATAGGGATCTATAAGCCAGATTTAAATCAGTAACACTACGAGGTGTTGAAGTATACTACAGCTGTCTAGTCCTATGTTTGCCATGTAACTTGCCATGACAGTCTACTTGGGTATCTCTCCAGTGACATTTATATCACATGTCCAGATTGCTGCAGTTGTGATCGCACAATATGGGGAAGGAAGGAGTGTGAGGTTATTTCAAATTTTCATGTTGAGAACTTTACCGGGCCTCGTTGCCCCGGTAGTAATTGGTTACGGTAAAAGGTAACTTAACTAGATAATGCTGAGCGTAGAGTTCGATGGACGGAATTGCTTACTCTCTCGAACTGTCCATTTACTAACTAATAAACGCTTTTTCAGTCTTAATTTTTATGCAAAGTGAGAACATTTTTCATAATTCTTTTTTTGTTTTTAGCTAATCGGTCATGCACCTGGCTTAAAGCGAAATTTAAATCTGATTATTTGTTTAGGTTTACGATTGCCCTGTCAGCCAGCCTGGTTTGCCTCCTGGTTGAAATTGTTGGATTTTTTGCCGGATTTTCCATGTTCAACGCATTCATCAGCATCACATGTAAATACATCTGTTCGCCTGTTCGTTGGTCATAACTAAAAAATCTTAAGCTTACGGTTGACCAGGGAAATAGACCGTTAGCTTTTGGTATATTTTCATAATCTTCCGGCTTTCCTAGCGTGTTCCCTTTAACAGGGGTCAGCTGTTCCAGTCAACAAGCTCCATAGTTTTCGGTTTTTGGTTAAATGTTCAGTCAGTCCTCGCAGTTTCATTTTATTCATTTATTGTGACACGACACCACCTCTGGCTTTACAATACTTTTCTTCTCTGGCAGTATCAGTTCGTGGATCACAAGTACAGCGTATTCATTGGCTCGCCGTTTCGTGGCAGAACAAACGGAGCCTACTTTCGAACTGCTTTCTTAAAATTTGTGCTACGCCAAAAGTCCCTCATATAAAGCTATTCAGGATATTTCCATTTTTGTTGACACAAGAGATTAATCTCAGCATTCAAAGTTCTGCCGCGATCAACCGTTCCTCGTGTCTCTTCAGGATAGTCAGACATTCTGCTCTGTACAGAAGCTTCAGTCTTTCTATCATTCTGTACACCTTCCCCTTTAGAATTATGAGCATGTTCTTTCGCACAGTACACCGATCACCGCCGTCCATTTTAGATCGATTTCTTCATTCACTGTAGATTTCCACATTGTCTTGCAGGATAGAACCTAGCTTCTTGAATTTTTCGGTTTGAGGCAGCATGCTCCGTTCTCCTTTCACTGATTAGATGATTTCAGTCCATTCTCCCCACTGAAATAGCCTGCTATTTATTCTGACTTGCTTTTGCTAAGTTGAAGGCCGTTCTTCTCAAGGACCATTCTTCCTGCCACAGATTTTGCTTCTACCTCTTCTCTGCTCCGCGCACCGTCAGTGCATAGGACTAGCAGCACCGGCTGCTTCCTGTAGATATTTAGTGTCACCCTTTCTGTCGCAATCAAGAACAGAAATGGGCTCAGTTATTAACCTTTATGGATCCTTATCTGCACAGGGAATTCTTTCGCATCACCGCATGTACTTCGAACTGTCGTTGTCTCTCTGTCAATATCTTTTTAATAAGTTTGGTATTTTCCTGACACCAGCTTCTTTCTCATGCTGCCTCAGAATTTGATCAAAAGCTTTTTCCAGGTCTAGGAATACCATGTGAATAACTTGTTTTCTTGTCTGTGTTTGGAGGAAAGATTGCGCCCATGGATGGCAGGCTTGACACAATGACAAACTGGTTCATGGTGATATCGGCCTCATTCTTTGGTCTTTTGGTTAGCATCTTTCATACAGCTTCAAGGTGTGGTTGAGCAGTTTAATTCCCGCATAGTAGTCAGAAGCGAGCATTTCCGCTTTCATTTTGTACATTGGCATCAAAATACTCTTCCCCTTGATTCTGGCATCATTTCATATTCCATGATTTTGTTAAATAGTGCAGAGCCAAACTCCGCCTTTTTACTCCAGCGCCTTCCGTGTTTCTGTGCATCTTGGTCCCGGCCTTTTTAGTTACCATTAAACCCGAGGCTTACTCCATTGCATCCAGTGAGATCTTTTCGACTAATCCCTAGTTGTGTGATCTCTTCGGCGATCTCCCTGGGATGTTCGTTGGTTAGTAGCGTTTGGAAGTACCTTCATCGATTGCGAATATTTTTCTCGTCGGCAGCCACCATTCCGCTTTAATGTTTTATGCACTTCAATTTACAGACGTCTCTCGTTCTTCTTTCTCTGGCTTTTGCTATGCAATGGATGTCGTTCTCCCCTTCCTTGCGTATAAGCCGTTGTACGGCGACGACTTGCCTCCTTCTATCGTTATGGCATATTTTACTCTGCCTTCCGCGCTGTTTGATAGCCTCCATTTTTGAATAGCTCTTTCCTCCGTTGTAGAGTCGTTTGCACTTCCGCATTCCACCATCAAGTTCTCTCTAGATACGGGCTGTGCTTTTTGTTTCCCTCAGATTTCGGATATTCTCGATGATTATGATGGTCATCTACTCCCATACTTCATTCACTCTCCTGTTCCAGTTTTCCTTGTTCATTTTCTCATAGCTTCGCTCCTGGACATGTTTTTCGGCTTTCCTTTAAGCTTCTATCACTTTATTTTCAGAGCTGTCCTTGTACCCGCTATCTTAATGGACTGTTTCAGATGCAGATGGACAACTTGTAACTGGTGCTGGCATGTGACAGATTCCCTCAGGCAAACTTAGAAGTCTCTGTTGGTATATTTTCACGGTCTGATTTTAAATAGTGTTTAATGCTCTGTACGTATTATGAAACCAATCATATAATGTACAACGAAATCCTTTAGTAGCAATGGCTTCGGGATGGCATTTTCGGTCGGTGCTGCAAATCATTATCGTATCTGAAAATGAGAAATAACGGATGACTCCATCAAGACTATATTTCACAGAATATTGCCGCCCCTTGTCCTAGT